CTTTTTTCTTTTTTGCTTATGTGGTGCTGAGGAATCGAACCCAGGGCCTCATGCATGCAAGGCAAGCGCTCTACCACTGAGCCACCTTCCCAGCCCTCACCTCACTCCTTATACTTCCTCTATCCGAAGGTGGCAGGTAAAGGGCTTAAAATAGCCTTGACTTCTCCCTAGTCAGTGGCAGTAAATAGCCCCAGAGTGGAAGAAATGTATCAAATAGGTCTGGATGTAGCTTCAAGAAGCCATCGTCCACTCCCAGGAACCATCTTCTCCCCTCAAGTCCCAGGCTAATCTCCTCAGTCTGACCCAAATCTTCAGAAGAACTCCCACACCACTACAAAGCACTGTCAACCTGCTCCGGAGGAGGGAGGGTGAGTTGGAGGAGGGAAGAAATGGAAGGACCAAGCAGTGTCTCTTACATATTCCTTCTGCCTTAGTTCTTCTAACCCATTCACATAGTGGAGAGGGAAAGAAAAAAAAAATCATTAAAACAAAGTTTGTCTGTTGTTGTTGTTTTTACCTTAAAGAGGTGGGTGAAGCTCCGGGAAGGTGGTGGGCTTGGCTCTTCGGCAGCTGGACTGGGAGGGGTGGATACGAGGCCCCCACCAGTGCCAGCTGCTGCCTTCCAGCAGTCAGCGCCAGAGCTTGGACAGGTTGACACACGTTCAGACGCGCTGCTGTCGTTGCCGTCCTAGCCAGATCCCAGATCGTGGCCACTTCCAGACTCACTTCCAGGATTGGGGAGCCCCCCCACAGAGGGGTGATGACAAGTAGGGGAGCAGACAAGATGCTCCCGGTGGTTCTCAGCGCCTTCAGAATTCCTGAGTGGCAGAGTGGAACAGTGGTGCCGCTCCAGGCCCTGACTGCACACACTGGTTTTCAAAGGAAGTTTGTGGTTATTCTTTTTCTCTTCTCTCTTTCTTTTTTTCTTTTGCCCATCGGGACAAAGAAAAATTAATCAAGGACAAGCTCCTAAGAAGAGGAGGAGCCTACCTCGCACTGAAGGACTTCCATTATGGCCTTCTGACCCGGTCAGCAGCCTGCTGATCAGCAAAGAGAGAGAGAAATAAGGAGAGAAAAACAACAGACCCTTTCTCTTCCCTCCTCCCGCGGCTGGAAGGGACGGAGCGCTTGTGCCTCTCTGGTGAGAATGGGGAAGAGCAAGTGCCAGAGGCTGGGCGGGGAGGAGCAGGGCTGGACAGCAGCAGCGTGGTGACAGTCCTTTCTCCTTCTCCCCGCAACTTGCTCTGGACCCCAAAAACCTGGTCACAGAGCGTATTTGCAGATTTACTCATGTAATTCTTTTTTTTGAATTTCCTGCTCTGGTGTTTAAAATAAAGTCTAGAAATAAAATTGGTTGGGTTTGGGCACCCAGTGTACACAGAGGAAGGTGTGGAACAAACCCAGGCTCTTGGAAAAGAACACTGTCGGGAGAGAACCATCAGAGCAAGGGGAGATTCTATGCCCCGAACTCTGATTTCAGATTCAGCCTCTTTCTCAGTTTTCAGCTTGTGGGAGCAAGATAAGCTGGTAGGAAGCTAGTGGTAGGAAATGAAAGAATCGATTAATAAATGAGAGGACATTTGATACATTTGATGACAAAGGGTTTTTTTTCTTCTTCATTAAACTGCACTACTTTGGGGCTGGAAAGTGGCCGCTAAGGAAAGTCAAAACCTAGCTCTACATTCTGGGGTGTGTGTGGGGGGGGGTATTGGGACTTAAACTCAGAGCTGGGATGCTGTTCCTCAATTACTTTGCTTAAGGCTGCTGCTCTACCACTTGAGCTACAGCCTCACTCTGGCTTTTTGGTATTTAGATGGAGATGGGAGTCTTACAGACTTTCCTTCCAGGGCTGGCTTGGAATAGAGTGATCCTCAGATCTCAGCCTCTTGAGTAGCGAGGATTACAGGTGGGAGCCATCAGCCCCTGGCTAGTAGCTCTCAACATTCCGAAGGGCCCTTCACAGTCTATTTACACAACTGCCACAGATGAGACTTTAAGCAACTCTGAAAGCTGAAAAATCAATTTGAACAGTTGGGGAGTCAGGAAGCAAACTCAGGGTTATAACAGCCTAAGAATGTAATGAAGAGGTATTTGTGGAGACTGAAGAATATAGAGTTGTAAAGAAGAACCAAGTTAGAGGGACTGTCTGTAAAAGCACAGGAATAAAAAAAATTATGCTAATATCTTTCCATCATGGACAACCAGGAAATTGGTGGGAATGGTCAGTTTGGGAAAGGGAAGAATTCAGGGAAGGAAAATGGAAAACTGTTATGCCATGTTGTAATTTAAGATGTCAATCAGCATGTGCAGGTAGCCCATACTTGTCATGCCGGCACTCTAGAGACTAGGCAGCAAGGTCCCGCGTTTGAGCTCAGCCTAGACTACATAGCGAGAAGCGTTGGATAGTCGTCCCTTGCTATATCCTGGTTCACTTGTTTGTACTTGGCGGATATTTACCTATTGTGGGGGTTGGGGGGTGTCTCTGGAACGTAATGTGAGGGATCACTACATATTTAAAAAGCAAACAAACAGTGAAACGAAGGGACTGAGAAAGTGGCTCAGTGGTAGAGTGCTTGCTCGCATGTACGAGGCCCTGGGTTCGATTCCTCAGCACCATCTAAACAGAAAAAGCCGGAAGTGGTGCTGTGGCTCAAGTGGTAGAGCGCTAGCCTTGAGCTGAAGAGCTGAGGGACAGCGCCCAGGCCCAGAGTTCAGGCCCGACGACCGACAAAAACAAAGCAACAACCCCCCCCCAAAAAAAAAAACCAAAAACAGTGAACCGAGATATAGCCAGGGACGACTCTATAAGTATGTGTCAAAGTTTTCAGCAACTTGTCCCGTCTGCAATGGAATAATGGGGCGTCTGGAACGTCTGAACTACGTCTCCCAGAATGCCACGCGATACGCAACCCCGCCCCCTCGTTCTCTGGGAGACGTCCCATGAGCCTCTGGGCGTAGAGCTCCGCCTCCGCCGCTGGGGGCGGGCGGCGTCCGACTCCGGGAGCACCGGATTACGTACTTCCTGCGGAGGTCGGAGGCCGAATCCCTTTATGGCGGGTTCGAGACCCGCCTCCTGGCTCGCCTCTAGCCCCTGAGCCCTGGGCGGGGTGTGTTCGCCGGGTAACCTGTGTTCGACGAGGGCCGACAGCACCCTGTGCGCTCCGCCATGGAGGCCTTCCTGCAGGGTTGTCGAGCTGCTCTGCAGGTAACGGATCTCTGTCTGTGATCGTAAGGAATGGAGCTTGGGGGTCCGGGAAGGACGGGGGTGATGTGGGAATCTCGGGAAGCCCAGACAGTCGGTGTGGAGAGGTGGCCGGCGTGTGGGAAGGAGGTTTGGGGTCTGATCGGGCTTGGGGAATTTCACGCGCCGGAGGCGGCTGCTCGGGCTCCGGGCTTTTGAGTCCCCGCCTTTGGGGACTGACCGGGATCGAATAGGGAGGAGTCTTGATGTTTGAGTCTCGGCTGGCTGTCGTCCGGGTAGTTCCCTGTGAAGGACCTGAGCGGTGCCGCCGCCAGCCTAGCCTCTTAGGGTGTGCTCTTTCCTTTTTTTCCCTCGCCCCTCTGTCAGTGATCTGCTCCCAAGGCTTGGCTTAGCCCGCTGTCCGCAGGTGAACCTCGAAGGTGTGGAGAGAACCCGGGTGCACGGCTGTACTTGCTCTAAATGGCGGATTATTCTCTGTGGTGGCCGGACTCTTTTCTAGGTGTTAAAGGTGGTCGCGCAGAATCTGTGTATTTTAAGCCAGACATACATGAGGCATTATGAGTTGACCCACAGCCTGCATTCCTTTGCTTCTAGATTTCTTCTTGGCCCTAATGCCCACAAATTACTTAAAAATCCCCACCCTCCTCCTGGTCAGGATAAGCACAGGGTGTTTGAAACCAAAACACCTGAATGTTTTGTCGCTTGTTTTAGGTTCCTACCCTGCTGACTGGTCATGCAGCAGTGGGCTGCTTCTCCCCTGTTAGCACAAAGCTAGTCAGTGAGAATTTAGAAGGTCTCCTGGATCCCCTTACTTTGAGTTACACTGTCCCTGAAGAAGCGCAGACAGATGGCCTATGGTCTTCCATTTAGAGTATCTTATCTGGGTGTGGTGGACTGTGCCCGAGATCCAAGTACTTGGGAGGCAGGAGGGTCTAAGTCCCAGAAAAACAAAACTAGCCAAACACTGAGGTCTACCTGTAAGTTCTGATCTTTAACAAATGCCAAACATCACCTAATTCTTTTCTGAGATAAATAAATGCTCTCTTACTGGGATGAGGTTCAGTTTTTTTTTTCTTTTATTTTCCTCATTTTTTTGTCAGTCATGGGCCTGAGCTCTGGGCCTGGCACTGTCCCTCAGCTCTTCAGCTCAAAGCTAGTGCTCTACCATTTGAACTACAGTGCCACTTCAAGCTTTTTCTGTTTATGTGGTGCTGAGGAATTGAACCCAGGGTCTCATGCTTGCAAGGTAAACACTCTACCTCTGAGCCACCTTCCCAGCCCCAGGTTCAGTTTTAACACCAATTAACACCAAAGTTTTCTTTATGAAAAATTTATGGGAAGTGTTTTAATGCATAACAATTTGGAGCCAATGTTTTCTTTCTTCATTTTCATTTCCCCACCCCCCATTCTTTTTCCTTTTTTCTTAGGCAGGGTCTTCCTGAGTAACCAGATGGGTCTTTAAATACACATATCAACCTCCCAAGTACTTGTGTGCCTTTACACTTGGCTTTTTTCTTTCTTTCTTTTTTTTAGGTCAGACCTGGACTCAAACTCAATACTTGTTGCTTTTGCTTATTGGCTAGCGCTCTGCCAACTGAGACATGGGGGGGGGCGGGGAGGGGAGGTCAGCTGCCCCCTCCCCACACACTTTGTTTTCCTCCCCATAAAGATTTGAATTCAGGGCCTCATGCTAGCTTGCTTGCTTGGCTAGCATTCCACCACTTGACCACACCTTCAGGCTGGGCTTTTTAATGGCTATTTTTTTGGAGATGATACCTCAGGCACTTTGCCACCCTTTTCTGCCTCAGCTGCATCAAACTTGATCTTCTACAGCTCAGCCTCCTGAGTAGCTAGGTAGCTAGGATAATACATGTGAGCACTAACACCCCACTTTTTTTTTTTCCAGTTCTGGGCCTTGAACTCAGGGACTGGGCACTGTCCCTGAGCTTCTTTTGGTCACTTGAGAGCCACAGAGCCACTTCCAGCTTTTCCTGTTTATGAGATACTGAGGAATCAAACCCAGGGCTTCAAGCATGCTAGGCAAACACTCTACCACTAAGCCACATTCCCAGCTCAACACCCCACTTCTTTTGGGGTACTTTCTTTTTTTAGGGGGGGTCTGGTAGTGGGGCCTGAACTCTGGGCCTGGGCACTGTCCCTCAGCTCTTCAGCTCAAGGCTAGGGCTCTACCACTTGAGCCACAGCGCCACTTCCGGCTTTTTTCTTTTTGTTTATGTGGTGCTAAGGAATCGAACCCAGGGCCTGGAGCATGCAAGGCA